GTGAGCAGGGGGCATTCCCACTTGAGAGGGCCTTCATGAGAGTTGCATCTTCTAGAATTTGATCATTGCAAGGCATCTTTCAGTAGAATTAGGAATAAAAATGCAACAGCCATTTGACCAGTGTCACCCAGGCAGAGGTCATGGGGGACCTAAAAACAGGTTTTAGCCCAGCACCATTGACAGCAGGAAGTAACCTTCTGGTTGGACCTGAAAGCTGCCCTCAACCTACCAGGGGGACGAAAGAAGCTCATCTAGACACAACAGAAACTTGAGCTGGTCCACTTTGGGGGCTCACACGGCAGAAGCTTTGAAGAAATACCTTCTGTGTTTCGACCTAGCGCACACATATCTGTATGGGTGTATATGTGAGCCAAAGGTCAGTTTCACAGAACGGTTCTTATATGTGATGCCCTCTGATTTTTTTAAATCAATCTTTACCTTTATAAAATGGGTATCACAACCTACTAACTTGATTTCACAATCCACTAGTGGGTCACAGTAGTTGAAAAACACTGTTCCGATGAATAATATTGTGTAGCACTGGTAATTCTTTCCAAATGAATGTCGTACTTACCTGATATCACATCTTACTGCATTATTTCTGTCTTTTATGATTAAGTTATCTGCCAGTTGTAGAGAGTTATTGATATAGGGCGGTAGAGGCATTTTGGGGAATCTCTGGTCAATATACAGTTCCAAAGGAAGAACCCCTACAGGCATTATTAAAGAGTGGTTACTGAATTTCTCTCTGTAGGCTCTGTCCCGGGGACCCGCTGCCATTTGCCTGAGGATTCAGTGCTTGGTTCACATTGTCTGAGTTTCTGTAGTCTTGCTGAATATCCCTCCTTTCCCTCCCACTTCCTCGGGGCTTGATTTGCCCTCTGGGAATGGCTCTCACCACATTAAACTTCGCCTTCACCTTCTGCATCTTCTCAGCCTCTTGCTGGTTCTAAGGCATCCCTTCACTGCCTTCCTTCTCTTTGTCTCTTCCACTTGGTTCATTCACATGAGCTAAATGGTTATGGAGTCACTCTTAATGAGTATAGTCACCACACACCATCACTGTAATGGCTCGGTCCATAGCAGCTTGTAAAAGCAGGGCCAAGGAAGAGTAGGCAAACCAAGTGGGGACAAAGGAGTTACCCTTTGGTAATGGAAGACTCGGTATTACCCGAGAGGCGGCGTCTGTGCCAAGCGCTTTCTCGAAATGCTGGCCAGGTCCATTCTTGGCTTTAGCAGATAGTGCCCTGGACTGAAAGGAGGCGTGATAGCCCTAATGCCTTGTTTTCTGAGCTTCTTCCAAACATGAGGCTAATAATACTTCCCTTGTGTGTGGATGCTCTGAGTGGTAAATGAGGTAAAGCACCTGACCTGGTACCTAGAATGTAAGAAGGGCTCTCATAACCTGTAAGCTTTGTTCTTATTTGTATTAGTATTCTATTGCTACATAATAAGCTACTACAAAGTTAGCAGAATGAAACTACATATATTTATTACCTTACAGATAATAAATAAATCTTATAAATCTTATAAATAAATATAAGATAATTATCTTATAGATCACAAGTCTAGGCACAACAGCCACTAGGTGGTCCTTTGCTCTGGTTCTCACGAAGCTGAAATCAGGAGTTGGCCGGGTCGTGTCCTCATCTGGGGCTTGGGGTTCCCCTGCAAGTTCAGGCAGGTTGCTGGCAGAATCCAGTTCCTGTGGTTGTCAGGCTGAAGTCCCCGTTCCCTTGCTGGCCGGTTGGGGGTTGCACCCAGCTCCTGGAGACCACCCCCAGTCCGAGCCACATGGCCCTCTTACCAACAGCAGCTACTTCTTAAAGCCAGCAGGAGAGTCTTAATGTTACATACCACCTCATGTAGCATTCCATACTTGTGGGCATGGCCATTCCATCAAATTCATGGGATCCTCCACACTCGAGGGGAGAGGATCATACAGGCCGTGTTCTCTAAGGGGTGGGGATATTGGGGCCATCTTTGAATCCTGCCCATCACAACATCACAGTTCTCATGAATCTGACATAATTGCTGAGGATTCTTCTCTTTACAGATTCATGATAGAAAATAGTTTAATCTCCCTTGTTTACCATTAATTGTTTGAACACCACCTACCCTAAAAGCAGGAAGTCCTTTTTCTCCCTTGAGTGCTCCCCCCTTCTTCCACACAGATGTGCACAAACATGCACATGCACACACACACATGCACACACATACACTGGTCACCCAAGACCGTTGAGATTCTTGAGGAGGAGGGCACCAGGAGTTGCTGTGGACAGTGCTGTGCATCAGTGAGCAGAGTGTGCTGTTTGGGTGGTAGTGGGTCCTTGCTGGTCCAGCCCTGGCCCAGATGCCCCCAGCCCCCTGAACTGGGCATTTCATTTCCCCTCACATTCTGTGCTTAACCGTTCTTCCCGACAATGCAACCACGGTGTGTGTGCGCTAGGACCGGAGGGCCGGGACTCCTCCACCAACGCTGAGGGCCTCGTGCCAGGCCAGGTCATTGCCAGGCTGGATTTCTGCGTGGTCTCCGCTCAGGTGTCACCTTCTCAGTGAGTCATCCCTGAACACCCTGTTTGAACTTTTATTACCTACCACCCTGTCTCCCTCGCTTTCAGCCTTCCAGCTTCTACTTTCGTTTTCACCAGAGTAGGACGTATTGCTGTCCAACACAGTTCATATTTTTCTTGTTTGTTTGTCTTTCTCTTCTAGAAAGAAAGCTCCTCCATGGCAGGGACTTCTATCTGGCTTTTCATTGTTCCACCCCCCAGGGTCCAGCAAGTTCCTAGTAGCACCTTGGTGGCTTTTTGATGGGTGCATAGGTTGTAAGAACCAGCAGCGTTTTTTAAATTGTTTAATTCAAGTAGAATTCATATACGGTGTTATATTAGTCTCAGGTGTACAATATAATGATTCAACAATTCTACGCATTACTCAGTGCTCACCGCGGTAAGTGTACTCGAAATCTCCATCACCTATCCCCCCATCCCCCCATCCCCCTGCCTACCTCCCCCCTGGCAACCACCCGTTTGTTCTCTGTAGTTAAGAGTCTGTTTTTTGTTTGTCTCTTCTCTTCTTTGTTCGACCGGCAGCATTTTTAAGCACACGCTTCTGTGCTCTGCTGTTTGTTGGTTGATTAAAGCAAGTTAAACAGATTACCTTCTGTCACCAACTTATGGGAGCATCCTATAGGAATCATAACGAGTTCTACCTAGTACGTACAAGTTCATGTTTGTGGGCTATGGGAGGACTGGATGTGAAAACGTGTATCATGTGGAGAATGTGTGTGTGCGTGGTTCTGGTGGTGGTGGTTCAGCAGGAGTCTCTCAGCTCAGTTTGTCCTTGAAATGATAGAGGATTTAGCAGCAGTCGGGTGCTGGGTGTTTAAAAACACAGACACAAGCCCTGGGAGCCAACCAAGGAGAAACGGCATTGGAGCCCAGCTTTGCTGAGTTTCACTGAACTCATAACTCTCCATCTCAACTGGTCTTCACTTATATTTCGTGGGGAGCTATCTTCTACACATTTTTCTTCATACAACAAGCCAATTTATACTGGAATTACCTACAAATTCAGTGTCCAAGATCCTGGATCAAACTGTGTATTTCTCCCAGCTATTTTTTTTTATTTGAAGTATTATTTTATTCCAAAAGGGAAAAAAAAAATAGTTCTGAACTGACAACTATTTCAGCTAGAGTAAGCTGTGTTTTTGCTTTAAAAGAAAAAAATCAGATTTAGCACTCTCTTACTCCATACACATGGAATGTTTCCTACTTAAATTTTTAAGAGAAGAAAACTGGCAGGAACCTAGATCACAACTATATGATCGTGTAGTGTTATTGAGAAACAACCCACCTTGCTCCCTTTCCCCACCTACCACCGCTTGGACTCAAGTCACTGTAGTGAAAGTGTCTAAATACCAACGTGCAGAACCCAGGGGCTTCAGCTTTCATGGTAGTCTCTCTTTTCCAAAAAAAAGTTGGGGCGTGGAGTATTTTTTTTTTTTTTAAAGATTTTATTTATTTATTTTTTAGAGAGCGAGCAAGAGAGAAACAGCATGAGAGGGGAGAGGGTTAGAGGGAGAAGCAGGCTCCTCGCTGAGCCGGGAGCCCGATGCGGGACTCGATCCCAGGACCCTGGGATCATGACCTGAGCCGAAGGCAGACGCTTAACCATCTGAGCCACCCAGGTGCCCCGGGGGTGGAGTATTAAAGGAAGCTAACGTGACTCTTTAGAGTCCACACTGAGTCCTGAGGGCCTTGAATGGGCAGCAATCCCAGGGGAGGAGCAGCCCCTGAGCACGGCCTGTGCCCTGCAGGGCCCCCAGCCTCAGGCACTGCGGAGGGGCAGGGGCAGCAAGGACAGTCCCGTCAGCAGACTGTATAAGGATGATGGCCTTAAAGCTTAAAGCGGCCCCGCAAAGGGGGCCTGGCCTCCCACCCACTTTACTGGGAAACTGCAAAAACTCAGTTACGGGAAACCGAGGCTCACAGAGGTTGAGTAACTTGTCAGAAGCCCCACAGCCATTAAGTGGCAAGCCCAGGACTACCCCTCCTATGTCGTCTGACTCCGTAACCTCTGCTTTTAACCTCACTGGGCTTGCCATGTGGTAAGGCCATCTCGTGACCTTCATCAGGGATCGGGCGCTGAGCAGGATCTAGGGCGCATGGACGCGGGTCTGTGGTTGAGCTTCCTCCCAGCTGCAGAGCTGATGGGTTTCGTGCTGGCCTTTGGTCATAGGCCTCACCAGAGGGAAGCCCCTGTGATCCAGCACGTGGAGATGTATAGGAGACACGGCACCGTGAATGACGCTCGCTGTGCCCATCTCAGTACTTCCCGTTTGGGCGCCCGGACTGACAGCAGTGAGTCCCGCCAGTTTGTGATGCGACGGTGCCAGTCCGTCCTTTGCCCTGAAATCAGCCTGGACCTCATGACTGGTTCGGTATTCCTTCCAAGCCGGACACTGACCCGCCTGTGCTGCCCCCTCTCTCCCGCAGATGCCGCCCCTACGAGGACTGCTGTGGTTCCAGGTGCTGCGTGCGGGCCCTCTCCATACAGAGGCTGTGGTATTTTTGGTAGGTCACAACTCTTCTGGTCTCGAATGCTTTGCTCTCCCCCCACACCCCCTCCCCCAGGGGCTCTGCCACACTCCGTATTAGCACATCACCTTCACCTGAGCTCTCGGTCTCAGGGACAGCCTCAGTCAAGAAAACAGTTACGTTCAGCTTGGCTTCGTGACAAGCACTTCTGCTCACAGAGTTTGCAGAAAGCTCGTTCCCATTTTCACAGGCTGTGGCCGGGAAAGAGGAGTTAATCTTTTGGAAGGTGGGCGGGATGACAGTGTTGTCCTTCAGCAGCTGCTTCGCCAGTTGCCGGGATGGAACTGAGGAGGACTGTCTGAAGGACTCGGAGTTAGCGAATCTTGGTACAACGTTTCTGCTGCCTGAAGGCCATTCCCATTCACGCTGTGTCAGCCGAATCTTAACTTTCAGGACGGACAGCCTGCTGATGATCTTCCAGCTCTGCTGAGGGAGATCGGGAGCTGTCTGAAGTCTGTAAAATTCTGCCTTGAGAGGGAGTGAGGGAGTATTGCTGACAGAGCATCCCAGAAGGATAGGGGTGCAGTTTCCATTAACGGGAACCCCCCGTGCATTGCCCTCCTCAGGGGATGCCCGTTTGGGGGTATGTCTGAAAATGTACTTGACTCTGTAGATGAGAGATACTGCTTCAGATCTCAGGGTTGGCAGGGCATGGGCGGGAGAGGGTTTGCCTGAAACCAAAAGAGCATTTGATCAGGGAAAACACCAGTACGTGGGATTCCACATGTCACGTTATCTTTGATAGGAGAGGTTGCTTTCCTATCACTGTCCCTACCTCCTTGATGGGGCATCGGGCATTTGGGGGCTCAGCTCACCTGTCACATCTGGCCCTGGCCTGGCCTCCCTCAGAGCTGGCTTGGACATCCCCTGTCTTGATGTCACTCTTCTGGCAAGCCCTACTGAACCAAGTGCCATGTTGGTGCCTAAAACTCTGTAGTAGAAGGTAAATTGTTTTGAGCCTAAGATTTTCTAAATGTAAACATCTCTGGGTGCACTTTAAGGTGGAGTGGACTAGTACCAAAGCAGGGGACAGGAGGACCAGGGGGGGTGCCCTTTCAGAGCTTTGCCTAGCTTCATGCATACTTGCCCTCAGGTTTTTCCTCCATGGGGCCTTGTGTAGTAGAAGGAGACAGGACCGTCTGGGGCAAGAATTCTGAAATAGTTAGGAAGTTTTGCCAGGTTGCCATCAAGTGAGGGGTGCCAGATGCCAGAAGATGTGGCCAAGCTCTTAGTGTTGATATTCTGACAACAGGTTCTAAAGTGGGGATATAGCCAGAGAACACCTTGAGATATAATTTTGAGGTGCCCCAGCTGAAGTCAAAGGATGCCTGAGTTCTTTCTGCTCAATGCATTCCTTCTCTTGGTAAGCATTAAGTGTCTGGTATGCACCAGGGCCCCATAGAGAGGCACTTACAGTAGTCAGGCTCCTAAAAGAGACAGATGTCTAAGTAGGTAATTATATGTGGAAAGTTTTATTTCTTTTTAAAGATTTTTTATTTATTTATTTGAGAAAGAGAGCATGAGCAGAGGGGAGGAGCAGAGGGAGAGGGAGAAGCAGACTCCCTGCTAAGCAGGGAGCCCTATGCGGGGCTCTGTCCTAGGACCAAGATCACGACCTGAGCCGAAGGCAAATGCTTAACTGACTGAGCCACCCAGGCGCCCCAGTGTGTGGAGAGTTTTAAACCAGTGTTCTGGAAACACAGAATGGAGCCTCTGATGCCAGAGAAGTTGGGGAAAGCTTGCAAAGCTTCTGACCGGGTCTCAGAGAGGGTGTTCTGTGCAAAGGGACCAGCACATTGATGGGACAGAGACATAAGAAGAGCCAGTGTGATGCGAGAGTGGCAGGAAATTCATGTGGGGGCAGGTGTTTGGGGGAGAGGGACAGGGGATGCGAATACGGAGCTGGCCGTGGAGGGAGGGAAGGGCTGCCCTCCAACCTGGGTCCCACCTGGTTTTTGAGGAAGTCTGTCTCCTCACCATAGAACAAAGGTTTTGGAGGAAGATGCTTTCAAAAGTCCCTGCCAGTTCTAAAATCTTGAGTATAACCAGCACAGCCTGAATGAAATCACTGGGATTAGAAAAACTAGACCAGTAGCACCCTTGGTAGAGCTGGGACGCACACTAGAAAGGAGTAAAACCTGGTGGGGTTAGCATCGTGCATGAGCCCTGCTCCTGGGGGCTCCCACTCAGGAGATCTGGATGCACCTGGGTCTGCGTAGTAGTTCAGGGAGAGAACCACGTGCTGGGGGGAGGGCAGAAAGAGATTGGAAAAAACAAATTGAATTGAACAAACCAGTTTGCTTTTGATGATAGAAAAGGCAGAAACTTCCTCTCTTAATCCCTGGAAAGCTCCCCAAACCTGCTCAGCAATCAATCTCTAGTACTTAAAAGAACTGCTTTTCTTACTCTACCACTCCTTTTCCCTGAGGTCCTGCTTCTCTCTTTCCTTGTTCCTATAAGCTCATTTCCCTGTCCCTTACCAGTTTCTCTCTTAAAATAAGTTCTTTCAGACCCATATTTCAGTGAGGAATGAATCTGTTGATGATTGATACCGAGGCTGGCCATTGGTCTCCTGCCGTGTGACTTTGTTCTGTCCCTGCCTTGTACTTACTTGCCATCAGTCTAAAGTCTGAGGTGCAATATCGTTCTTATTGGCTAGGAGAAGAAGAATTCCATTTGATAGTGTAATCCACATTTCAGCTTATCTCCTGGAACAGACCCATATCTCAGATGGCTTCTGCATTTTCCAATCCAGGGAGCCTGGGGGTGAGTCTCTTGGGAGTGAGTGGTAGTGTTATTTGAAAAGGTAAACCCTTATATACAGTCAGCCTCTCTGTGCTTTATATTCCTGCTCAGATACTTACAGTTGGACCCACTGTTGAATGTAAGATTATAATTGAGTCCCCCCGAGGGAAATTAGTTTTAAGAGCTGAAACAGTTCCCTTTGTGATTCCAGCATCCCAGAGCTGAGATGCCAGGCCCCTGCGCAGTAGGGATTTCTTAGCTCCCCAGGACTGCAGCCCACAGCCATCCCCTGGGGCCTCTTGCTCACCCAGCTCCCTGCTGGGGCGCAGTTGCTGTTCTTTCCCCCCAGAACGTGCCTTTCCTCCTCTCCAGCTTGCCTCTTTCTTTCCATCCTTCAGAACTCAGCTTGGATGTTGCAGGGAAAGAAGTTTTTCCGATTGCCTCACTATAACACATACCCTTGTTTAAAACCTCTTGTTGCACTGACTTGTATGCTTAAAAATGGTGGAGACGGTCAATTTTACGTATGTAACATACACACACACACACCCCTATGATTGCACCTTCGTTTTTCTTTCATAGCACTTACCAGAGTTGTAAATCACTGATTTTGTAACTTTATGTTTTGCTGTTTCCCTCCTCTACCAGAACTCAGGTTTAACTGGTGGGGAGGGACTCACCTTACTCTCTATAATGCACAACATGGTGCTGGGAGCAGAGCAGCTGCTTAAAAATTGTTGAATGAATAATGAATTAGCAGACAGGTCAGAAAGCCACAATTGCAGCCCTTTCCTGAATCATTTCCTGTCTGTGCCTCTGATCTTTCTTCCTACTCCATGTTCCAAGGTTGTCCAGTAAATACTTATTGACTGACTGATGGACTTAAACTTAGCATAATATTAATATTCTTAAAATCTTTATTGTCTGCTTTTTTCCTAAATTTCATTTATGTGTGGTCAGATGCCTTTAACCATGATGCAGCGTCTCTGCTCCATGTTCATCTTTCACAAGGCAGTAAGCTGCCCACATAGTGTGTGTATATTGGGTGAGGTTCTGGAAGATTCCATGAGTCCCATAGTAATGTCAGAGTTTCCCAGCTATGTGTGTGTGCAGGACAGACAGCTTGGCTCTTCTCAGAATGACTTCCCTAGTTTCTAGAAAGACAAGGTACAGCGCAAATGTGAGGTGGGAATAAGCCGTTTATCCATTTGTCTGTCATTTATTAAATGCCAGCAACATGACAGTCTCTGAGAAGTCTTAGATGAGTTGGACAAAGATCCTGTCATTAAAGCAGTCAGCTCTGCTGTTTGTTAGACTTTAAGGTCACGGTAGGAGAATGGCAGCCATACTTAGAGATTTCACATCGGCAGCTTTTTTATTGACTGTATTTCCTCTAGTCCTGTAGGTTTTCTGTAATTAAGGTGTGCTCTAAGAAGGCCACCATTTAAAATTTCTTTGTCAATATTCATGTAATAATGGAGAGAAAACTGCTAGGAAGGATAAAAGTGCTTATCCTTGTTGCTTTCCCGGCGAAGCATGGGAAGTGGGGGACATGGACCGTGAGGCAAAGCTGGATCAGCCACGGCTTGCATCCAGACGAGATTCAAAAGGCATCTCCCGTTTTGACTAAAACTTTTGAGTTGAGGTCAGGGCCATGGACAGGAAGGGATTGCACCAACCCTTTGAAGGCAGCTAACCATTTGGAGCATTTTGAGACAGAAAGCTCACTTAGCTTCTCAGTGTGAGTGAGTCCTGTTCAGGGGCGTCCCAGAAGTCTCCCAGGTGTCATCCACCCAAGAATGTCCTGGCGGAAATGTCAGGGGAAGGCCAGCCTGAGAAGCCGGGTGCTGAGCCCCTGTGACCCCTGCATCGCGAGTCCCTGTGCGCGGACCCCCGAGTCCTAGGGCCTTTGAGCCCGGGCCAAGCCACTGTCTGCCCTGAGCACCACCTCACCACTGTGCTCTTGCTCAGGTTCCTCCTGATGATGGGCGTGCTCTTCTGCTGCGGAGCCGGCTTCTTTATCCGGAGGCGCATGTACCCCCCGCCGCTGATCGAGGAGCCTGCGTTCAACGTGTCCTACACCAGGCAGCCCCCGAACCCCGCGCCAGGTCAGCCCGCCCCTCTGTCCTTGTCTCTCCTCTCTGCAGTGTTTGTGTCCCCTGCAAGCATTTGAAAAGGTCCCTGCTACCACGTGTGGTAGAAGAAAAAAATTCAGGCCATGTTTATTCATTTAAGGTCTGAGGATCAACCTTACCATGCATTTGTGCTGATGAAAAGTGCAGCATCTATTAGATTGTATTTCTGTGACCTCGTATCCTTCCCTAAATAGTGGTGTGCCTTTTATGCATATTTATGCAGTTCATATATGCATATCGTTTGCTCTTTTTCCTTAAAAATCATTCCATGTATAAATTTCTATGTACAAACAATAGTGTCCCTGTTATTTATAATGCATCTGGACTAAATATTAATTATGCCACTTTAAATGGTGATTTGCTCAGATATTCTGTCATTGCTGATCATTTGTTTTGTTTTTTATTCATTCATTCAACAAGTATTTATGCAATTTACTAGTATTCTGAATACTTATAAACAGTGCGGCTAGAGACATTTCTGTACAAGTTACATTTGGCCTAGTTAGGGAACATTACCCAAAGTGATGCCACAGAGTCAGAAAAAAGTAGTGGTTTCTTAATTCTTACAAAATTGCTTTAACTATCTAAAAACTCTCAAGGACTCTGGTGGGCGAATTCAAGCTTCCCTTGGGACACAGGCTGGTTCCCTATTTTTGACATTATATGTGAGATGTTTTCCTTCCCTTTGAGGGAACCTCCTGCGGAGGAAGGGATAGAGGGGTGGTTAGGCATTGCTCATTCGAGTTCCTGTCCTTCGGCCACTGTGTGCTGAGGTCATCACTCCCGTGCACCCTGCTCTCCTGCTGTCTGTCACAGTTGCCCCCTGGGGAGCGGAGGGCAGGGGTTTTTCTCTATTGATTGCACACCACAAGTAGACAGAATTCTAGGAGCAGTTCCTGCCATGGTTTTTACATCCTAGAGATGTGCTATACAGTGTAGTAGGGTTTATAGTTAACAGCACTGTTAACTTAAAATTTTGTGAAGAGGGTAGATCTTACATTAAGTGTTCTTATCATCATAATAATAAATTTGGAGGTAATGAATAGATTTATGGCATATATTGTGGTGATGACTTCATCATATATATTTATCTCTAAACTGCCCACATTGTATACATTAAATACGTTCAGCTTTTTGTATGTCAGGGATAACTCAAAAAAGTGTTTTTTTTTAAAAAAAAAAGAATTAGGGGAATTTAGTGTAAAAAGTTTTCTCTCTCCTGTTCGCATGGAGGACGTGCTGTTCTCAAGATGCAAAGGGAGTAGAAATGGACATTTGTTGATTAGTTTTTACACCAGATACTCCCCAGTTTTTTTAAAAGAATAATCTTTATTATTTTTCTAAATGTTACTAAAAGATCTGAATATGAATTTTCCTTAACAGTTTAGAGGTTGCTGTACTTAAACTTTCAATCAGGATAGTATGACTTTTCACATGTACATGAATTTTATTCTTTCATATTTGGAAATATCTGAATAGCTTCAAATGTACTCTCTAGCATAGGGTGAGGTGCAGATTTTCAGTTAAAATTGGGGAGGGCGCAAAATTAGATTTCATCTGGATTAATTTGAGTCAGTCCTTTGATTTTTTTTTCTTTTCCAAGAACGAAACAGTAAATCAGAGAAATGGGCCAAACATTTACAAATTTCCTCTTCTTTCTGTTATCACTATGTCAATCTGTAGTGCAGGGAAAAGCAGTCCATGTCCCACGTGGCCACAGATGCAAGATGCCACATGTCCTTTGTCCACGGTGCTGGCCAAGTGTCAGGTCTGCTGTCCCTTTCCTATCAGGGTGAATGCGGTGAGCAGGTGGAGCTCCCAGCTGCCTGCCACGTAATTCCCCTTGAATGTGTATGTGGTCTCAGTATTTCCAAATGAGAGCGCTCTGTGTCCCCCACGTGCCATCTTTCCTCATTCTGCCTCTTTTCTGCGTCTCGGTGCACCCTGCCTGGAGTCCTCAGTCCCATTACCAACCACACCCATCTCAGAGACCTTAGGCCTTAGGCCTTATTTCAGACCCTTACCCCTGAGCAATGGCTGCTGAAAGTTTCCCAGTCACTGATATCTTCTAGCTCTTTGTCTACCACAGTGTCACCAGAAAGTTCTTTATAAAAAAAATAAAAAGCACGTAGGTCATGTTATTCTTTGCCTTTAAGGTTCTCTGCCGGCTCACTTTGCTCCCTGCAAGTCCACGCTCCTTAGCCAAAGACTCAGAAACCTTTACAACCTCCTCCCTCCCCCCATGGCCTTCTGCTCAGTGCCCTGTGTGAGCCACCGGCTCTCTCAAGCCCTGCCGTCTCATGAGATCCTGCACATGCCCTCTGTCTGCCTGGAAAATGCCCCCTTAGTGGAATTGTCCCAGGCCCTTCATTGCCTTTCTCCCCTGGGTGCTTTGCCAAGTGCTTTAACAGCATTGATTGTGGTGAGTTTTAATCCCTTGTGTATACTTTGGTCCCCGCACTGAGCCCTGCTTCGGTAGGATTTACATCTCAGGCACCAGGCAGCTGAGTGCACTGGTCAGCCTGGGGTCAGGATTTACTGTGGCCGCCCTCAGAGCCTGGAGCCCTGGCCGGCTTGAAGTGCTCACTCAGCCCATGGATACTGCACAGCTGCTGTGCGGCAGGGACATGGGACACCGCAGCGAGCCTGGGTTCCAGCCCTCACCCACCTGCTTTGCATTGCGTAGTTTGCACAACTGTGTGTGAGAGCCTGAGTGATTGTACAAATGACTATCTAGTCACCGACCACGGTGAGACCTGTGGCAGAAAAGGTCAGGATGCGGGGAAGCCATGTATGTGGGAGGCTCTCTGCAGTATGGGTAGATGGGAATGAATGTCTAAGTGGGGGTGAGCAGGGGAGGAGTGAGGGGCCGGGAGGTGGGCAGAGAGGCTCCCGTGGTCTTCCTTTCCCACCAGCCTTTAGCACGCCCCCAGGTCTCTGGAGCTGCAGAGCTCCAGCAGCTGTGTCTGTCCTGTGACCACAACCCCCCCCCCAACAGGACACTACTGAAGGTGGCATAGATGTAGGAGGGTCCCCAGTACAAAATTGTCCCTTTGTAGACAGCGGAGAAAGACCAGAAACGCCAGGGAGCAGCTGTTGGGGATGAAACACAGGCTCTTAAGCGTCTCGGGGAGTGTGGTTCGACCCCATGCTACCTTGTGGTTGGAGGCATTCAGAGAAGTGGGGACCATTCATTTTCCTCCAAGACCTCCCATGATGCATCCACACTGGAGCTGCGTCATTGACCACCTGTCGAGAGACACTGATTTGGGTGCTCCTACCTGTCTGCAGTGAGTCATCACCATCTTTCTTACATTTGTTGTAGCAGTATGCAATCGCCAATCCCAAAATATAGCAGAGCATCGAACGAGAAGAGGGTTTGCTCGGGTTCTGTGGGGGTTGGGCAGTTTCCGTAATTGCACTACAAGATCAAGGTCTGTGTCATTTGGTCACAGCGCTGAGCTTGGAAGCAATGTAAGTCCTTTGATTTGATTCTTTAGAACTAGTCATAAAAAAAAGGGGGGGGCCTGTTGGCTTTTTAATGATTCCGGTGGAGACACCCATCTCATGCTGTCGGTGGGCTTCATCCCCTCTGCGGCACGTTGTTGAGATCCTGTAATGCTCAGGGCACTGTGCCCCTGGGGATGTGCAGTGGGAGAAGGCCATGCAGGTCTCGGCAGCATAGGAAGAGAAACTCAGTGAACTAACATTACGTGGTGGGTTCACAGGATAAATATTACGCCCAGGAATAGACTGCTCAGTGCTCAGGAAAACACACGTGTTTGTGGATTTGCTGGAGTGGCTCCATCTCTCTTCTGTTGGCCTGGGGGAGGGGAAGTGGATTCTGGTGAGCTTTGCTTATTCGTGAAGAAGAAAAAGCGGCAGGTCTTAGAGAATCCATACTCATGCACAGGAGGACAGGGGGAGGGTAGCGGCTCGTATCCTGATTTGCAGAGGGGCACACAGCGGTGTTCCACCTGGGACCAGCATCCCAGTCCAGTGTGGCTGAGTGAAGAAGAGCAGATCTACACATTGTAGAGATGGCTCCTAACTGGGGCACAGGGAGGACTGTGGCAGCATCGTGGCTTTAGGGGGCTGATACAGGTTGGAGCAAGACCCGGGGGAAGAGACCGACAAACTGGGTATGCAATTGAAGTTCAAAGGTAGGGCTCCCAAAAGAAACAAAGGCTGAGGCCCAAGGCCTCCCATTAGCTCATTTGGGCCTTGAGCTAGCTGAGGGATGTTGGAGAAGCTGTGGTTTGGGGAACAAAAAGAGGCACCTGGACAGGGTGTTAGGAGGCCTAAGGTCTCTGAGATCACAGTGGGCCCCTGTCCTTTCTGAGTCTAGGTAGGCACTTTATCTGCAAAATGGAATCAGATTAAGAAAAGCACTCCTCGTTTTTAGTTCGTCTTTATATACGGAGGTAGCCAAAATTTAACTGGAGAAAGTCAGAGCTCCCTAAATGCTGTAGGCCCCCCCAGAATCTTCCCACATCATGCTAACTGGCAGGGCCCATGGATACATCCTCCTGGGTAGAGAGGAAAGATAGACTTCCTTCCTTCATTCAGAAAACATGAGCTAACTGGCAGCCTCCACTGTGTTCATACAGGAGGAGAGGTAGGACCAAGATATCCTCACTGCTGCCCTTTAAGAACTTGTAGAAAGAGGGGGTTGGGGAAGAGGGTTAAAATGTACAGACTTCCAGTAATAAGGTAAATACAGTCTGGGGATGTAATGCACAGCATGGTGACTATAGTCAATACTTTATTGCTATTTGGAAGCTGCTAAGAGGGTAGATCTTAAAAGTTCTCATCACAAAGAAAAAAAGATGCAACCATGCAAGGTGGTGGATGTTAAGTAACTTATTGTAGTGATCATTTTGCAATATAAACATATATGTATCAAATCATTATGTTTATATCTTAAACTTATACAATGCTCTGTGTCAATTACACCTCCATAAAACTGGAAG